TCGACAATTATGATTTTTGTCATAATCGTGCAGCCCTACTTGACAGTGTAATTTACTAAGCAGTCAATAGGACAGTCACATGCCTCCCGGTTTTCATCCAAAATATCTTAAATTGTGTTCCGAAGACGAACTGAGCTTTTTTTACGGGTTTGGAACGACATGGGGGTAAGTGATTAATGACAAAATTTTCATTTTGGGGTGGAGTAACCCTTTAAGAGGATTCAGGATTCCTTCTTTATATCTCAGAAAAAAACATAAGAAATACAACACTTAATGCATAACAAATAAAACTGCCAATGGGATTTGCAGGTGTTCAGTTGTTAAAGACAACTCTGGAAACTAAAATGCAGAGAATAAACAATGTTGTGCAATGCTAGTTTCAAAGCTCAAAGCTGGACTTCAAGTGCCATTCTTTCGCACTTTTCCATATTCAAAATTTGAAATTATAACTTTCAATTTTCAATTATGCAGCATATGTGAATTAGGACAAACCAAGACAGTAGCCAAGCATTACCAAAGATTAAAAAATTAAAATGACTGCATGTGGCCGTAATGCTGAATAATCCAGAGCACACTGATTGGACAAGTTTGGCGATAATATGATAAACAGCAAATCTGCTAGAAAATGAATATATTTTCGGGCTATTGCATCTGTGTAGGGTGAAATCATGCGAAATGCACAAGGATGAATCACAAAATTATATTCTCAGTGTTGCCACAAGAGGCACTATAGCAGACTTCAGCATAAACTGTCTTCTATTTCATTTCTCCTTCAGATAAGCTACTGTCATGGTGGAGCAACAGTTTGAAGAGAATCTTACTAAGCAAGTTAGTTAAAGTCAATTATAGCTAGCTACCAAATATAAGAACACATCCAATTATTTTGCTATAACCATTGGCTGACAGCATATGATCTCTTACTTAAATCAAGAGTTAAGAAGGTAAACTTTGCCCTGCTAACTGATGTGCTGGTCTATCTTGAGTCATACACCGAACTTAAATAGCTGCTGCTCATGGCTGCGTTAGCTTGAATCATTTATGGCCAGACAGATGGAAAGTGTGAGATGGGCACAGGAGAGGAGGGAGTTTGAAACTTTTTCATCAACACAGCAACAGTGCGAGAGAGCCTGGATACGACTCCAAAACATAGGAGGAGATGAGGTGATGTCATATTTATGTGGGCTTGAGTGAGTCTACAATATGGTTACAATTTTCCCATTCACGTTCCGACGTCCTCCAATGAAGTCATCACCACTAGCTCCCACACAAGCATCAATCACACAACCAGTAGGAAAAAAATGGACATTTCTAAGCATGCTTCGTCAAACGTCACTATTACTATTGCTCATACTTAGAGTTAGTGATTCAAACAAACTTCTCAGATCGCATTGAAGTTTAGTGCATAAATCAAGACAAATTGTGTAATGCATTTTACATTACATTTATGCATTTGCTTTCATTTATTTCAGATGCTTTTATCCAAAGTGACTTACATTATTTGTATTTTGTTGCTTTTTGTTGATTAATAAGGTTGTATACTGTGAATGCAATGACCTTGCAACCATCTACAACACGCTAGCAACTGCATAGCAATGCCTAACATGCGAAAAAATGCTCAGAACATCTTAGTAGCCACATTGCAGTGCCATGGAAACTACCCAGAACAGAATTAGCATTGTGGCAATGACTTTTGCAATTGACAGGGAGACTGCAACATGTTTGCATAACATACACAGCTTAATTTACAGAAATGCATTAATGCTTTAGTCCACAAAACACTCTGGGTCTAATTCTCTCCATCCCTTGCTAGCATACAGTTTAAAAACATGCTTAAAATCTGCAACAGTAATGCCATGCATCTGCTCTGGAGGCAACTTTAATGAAACACTTCTAATGAAACAGATAAACAATGGGCTCTTTTATAACATGCATTTCCTCTGTCATCCTCAGTTCTCTGTCCCTCTTACATTTACACGATTATCTAATTGGAAAGGCATTACAGCGCGCCTGTACTCTGTTGCCTGCGTGCATGTGTTTCCTACAGACTTATGTAATGTAACGGGTGTAGCTTAGTGACAATGCCTGATAAAAAAACAAAGAAAAACGAAGCTTTTACGGGTTTACAATGTGGGGGGGAGTGATTATTGACAACATTTTCATTTTGGGGTGGAGTATCCCTTTAAACCCATTATTATATGAATAACAAGTCGCTGTCCTTATGGTGGATCTACTACTGCTGTCGGATTCAGGATTCCTTCTTTATATCTCAGAAAAAAACATAAGAAATACAACACTTAATGCATAACAAATAAAACTGCCAATGGGATTTGCAGGTGTTCAGTTGTTAAAGACAACTCTGGAAACTAAAATGCAGAGAATAAACAATGTTGTGCAATGCTAGTTTCAAAGCTGGATGTTAAACTTCAAGTGCCATTCTTTCGCACTTTTCCATATTCAAAATTTGAAATTATAACTTTCAATTGAATGTAATGCAGCATATGTGAATTAGGACAAACCAAGACAGTAGCCAAGCATTACCAAAGATTAAAAAATTAAAATGACTGCATGTGGCCGTAATGCTGAATAATCCAGAGCACACTGATTGGACAAGTTTGGCGATAATATGATAAACAGCAAATCTGCTAGAAAATGAATATATTTTCGGGCTATTGCATCTGTGTAGGGTGAAATCATGCGAAATGCACAAGGATGAATCACAAAATTATATTCTCAGTGTTGCCACAAGAGGCACTATAGCAGACTTCAGCATAAACTGTCTTCTATTTCATTTCTCCTTCAGATAAGCTACTGTCATGGTGGAGCAACAGTTTGAAGAGAATCTTACTAAGCAAGTTAGTTAAAGTCAATTATAGCTAGCTACCAAATATAAGAACACATCCAATTATTTTGCTATAACCATTGGCTGACAGCATATGATCTCTTACTTAAATCAAGAGTTAAGAAGGTAAACTTTGCCCTGCTAACTGATGTGCTGGTCTATCTTGAGTCATACACCGAACTTAAATAGCTGCTGCTCATGGCTGCGTTAGCTTGAATCATTTATGGCCAGACAGATGGAAAGTGTGAGATGGGCACAGGAGAGGAGGGAGTTTGAAACTTTTTCATCAACACAGCAACAGTGCGAGAGAGCCTGGATACGACTCCAAAACATAGGAGGAGATGAGGTGATGTCATATTTATGTGGGCTTGAGTGAGTCTACAATATGGTTACAATTTTCCCATTCACGTTCCGACGTCCTCCAATGAAGTCATCACCACTAGCTCCCACACAAGCATCAATCACACAACCAGTAGGAAAAAAATGGACATTTCTAAGCATGCTTCGTCAAACGTCACTATTACTATTGCTCATACTTAGAGTTAGTGATTCAAACAAACTTCTCAGATCGCATTGAAGTTTAGTGCATAAATCAAGACAAATTGTGTAATGCATTTTACATTACATTTATGCATTTGCTTTCATTTATTTCAGATGCTTTTATCCAAAGTGACTTACATTATTTGTATTTTGTTGCTTTTTGTTGATTAATAAGGTTGTATACTGTGAATGCAATGACCTTGCAACCATCTACAACACGCTAGCAACTGCATAGCAATGCCTAACATGCGAAAAAATGCTCAGAACATCTTAGTAGCCACATTGCAGTGCCATGGAAACTACCCAGAACAGAATTAGCATTGTGGCAATGACTTTTGCAATTGACAGGGAGACTGCAACATGTTTGCATAACATACACAGCTTAATTTACAGAAATGCATTAATGCTTTAGTCCACAAAACACTCTGGGTCTAATTCTCTCCATCCCTTGCTAGCATACAGTTTAAAAACATGCTTAAAATCTGCAACAGTAATGCCATGCATCTGCTCTGGAGGCAACTTTAATGAAACACTTCTAATGAAACAGATAAACAATGGGCTCTTTTATAACATGCATTTCCTCTGTCATCCTCAGTTCTCTGTCCCTCTTACATTTACACGATTATCTAATTGGAAAGGCATTACAGCGCGCCTGTACTCTGTTGCCTGCGTGCATGTGTTTC